TTTCTCTTACCGTAAGAACCCCTTAGTGTAGACACACTGTTTGGGGAAAAACGGCTTTCGTTGGGTTTGCTGGGCCCAGGAGCTTGTTTTCGGTTGCAGGCGGCCATCCGGCACATGGGCAGCGCCGCCCAGGGCCCATTCGTGAGCTCCTTCAACCTGCTGAGTGACGAGTGGGATGAGGCAGATCGAGTTCTCGTCACGGCGGGTACCCTCCCTCCCACTAACATAGCACCTGCGGGAGGGTACTAGTACCTGGAAGATCAATTTCCTCTTGAAGCGACCCTCTGTGAGGTGCTATGTTAGTTGGAGGGAGGGTAGGAACCCAAGCAAAACCTAGACCATTATATTTATATATATATACATAAAAAGGGGAGCCCTCGACAAAAAGACAGAACAGGGAGATTCCTCTAAACATGGAGGATTTTGCTGTTCCAGATTAATCTGCAGGGGAGTAGTTGTGGATCTGTGTTCGATGCAATCAGTCCCATTTTTCTCAGCACGCGAATGGCAAACTGCATGAAGTGCGCGAGGGCTTCACAGATGCTCACTCCGGGGAGATGGAATCCAGCGAGCGGTTCGGAACCATGCGAGCTTGCGGCGGGCTGCCCTGCATTTCCCTTCTTGGAACCAGCAACAGCGGCAATTCCAACGGGCACCACCGGTACATTGATCAACATTTTTTGGGGAAATTCGGTGACTGTCCGTTTAATGTTGACCTCATGAGTCAACTTTTGTTTGTTCACCCCCTGTTCATTCATGAGGAGGTGTCTATGAGTCAACCTCTGTTTGTTCACCCCCTGTGAATTCAGGGGCTGTTTTTGGTTGCAGGGAATTGGAGGGCGAGACGTTTCGAACGAAAGGCTCCGCTTCGCAGGCCAGCCAAGGGGTGTGTGGCATCCTTTTCCGCGAGCTCTGGAGCAATGACCAGGCAAGGCGCTCGAGTGAGTGAGACGCTGATCGGCTCCAAGTTCCGTATTTTTCTTTGCTGGCAAACAGAAATGGATTTCTGTGTTACTTGAAAGATCTTTGAAGGGCAAATTACCTTTACAGTGATATCGTTTTTGAGATGGCAATCCCACTTTGGCCACCCGGTTTGTAATTTCATCGTCCGCAACCATGTCTTTGCTGCAGTTGGACACGGGATAGGGCTCAACCCCCACTAAAACAATGGCAAGGACCCAATTTGGATGATGACACTCCTGAAATAAACCCAATTTGGATGATGACAATGAACAATAAACAATGGTGGTTATGTGAGCCTCCAGGTGGTGAAATATGTGAACCCCACCATTGTTGTCGTGGTGGCCTGCCTGAACCCCAGATGGGTTGGGGTCGCCAACACCGCAGGCCAGGGGCTTCCCCATGCCCAAGGGCTGCTTCTACCGGAGCCTCACCGTGGACATGCCGCCCGGCCTCGCTTCAGCTGACGGCGGCGGTGGCGTTCGCGTTTTTTGTTTGGCCCTCCCCCTCATAATGCATACCCCGGATTAATAAACCACCCCCCCCCCCCCCCCCCCCCCCCTCCCCCCCCCCTCAAGGTCACAAGGTCAGGTCTGTCATTTTTTGAGCCCCCCCCCCCCCCAATAGTGGGAAGGTGGTGCTGGCTGTACTAATGGGGGGGTGCAAAAGCAGGGCATCAAACATGGTAGATTAACAGGAGGGTGCTGGCTTTACTAATGGGGGGGTGCTGCTGTTGCATGTGCAAAAGTTGGGCAAGTTAAAATTAAATTAAAAACGCATGATGTAGCGGGGGGTTTGGGGGAGGGGAGCTTTAATAGGGGGGGGTTTCGGGGGAAAATGTTTGTTATTGTGGGGGTGCCAGGGCAGATTCCTGGGTTTCAATTAAAACGAGTATTGGCGAGGGATTTTCAAGGAAATCCAGGCGCTTTAATAGGGGGGGGGTTTATTAATCCTGGGTCAGCATTATGACATGGCGGCGTGTAGATGTTTGTGTGTGGTGGCTCGTTGTTTTTTGGGCCCTCCCCCTAAAATTCGCGGGCCTATTGGCGCGTGGATTTGTTTGCGTGTTTTGGCTTTTGACCACCAACCGAAGGGGGCGAGAGTGAGCCCTAGAACGACACACCCATGTTCGGTCCGGTTCCAAGGCGAAAGGCGCCTTTTTCCAGTTGATTTTTTGGGAACCCTGATGGAAAACCCGGGGTTTGGGGGGCCCCCCAATTTCGATGCATACCCCAAACCACCTGCTTCACCAGGACTCGGATCCTCTAAATCAGATGACGAAGGTGGTCTTCAAACTATAGCCGAAATTTATGTTTTCAAGGACCGCGTTCTTCTCCATGGGAAGCTTTGGTTGCAGGTCGCCAGAGAATTGACTACCAGGATTTGCATGATGTACTTTCAGTGCTGTCCATTGCTCAGAGCCCATTTTCCCTTGGTGTGTGACTGCACCCTACACGGCCAGTTTGGTTGAACCTGCATGGATTCCACCAGTCTCATTTCACGATTTCCCACTCATTTGCCAGTGCGTGTGTGAGTTTTAGGCTCCCAGTTGGTGCTTTGGCTTGGTGGCTTGGCGTTTCTTTTTTGGCGGTTTTTCCCCGAGCGGGGCTCGGCTCAGGCGAGAGCTGGTGATCGTCTTCGAGAAGCGGAACGGGCTGTCGCCGGACACGCCCCTTGGCGAAGCTCCGGTCGAGAAAGTGTGCCTTGGGCCAAGTGCTGGGAGAACCGCCCAAGCGCTTCCAAGCGCTTCCGAGTCGACCAAGGGAACGGAAAAAAAGACCAAGGCCAATTTGTAAACCATGACTGGAAGTGGTATCACTACAATTGGCCGCCCTACAACCAGTATTCAGCCTATGAGGTCGAACATCCAAGCAGCCGGCCTTGTTTCGGGCCTCGAACCGGTCGATTTGAAAGGCTGAAAGCAACCTCTCAGCGTGGACCTGTTGCGTAAACTAGCGGGACCAGGGCAGGTTTTGCATGTACTGCGAACCTAGCAGCAGCAGCAGCAGCAGCAGAGCTTTGGCCGCGGAGAAGCGATTTCGTAGCGTTGAACACCAGGCACTGTTAGCATGTTTCCATCGTTCCATGTGCATTCAGGCAACTCGCTTTTTGCAGGTCATGTTTATTACAGCGTGCAGCCTAAGCGCTTGACGCTAGGCCGTTTGTTCAACACACGGTGCAGAGCACTCTGACCGCATCGCAGAATCAATCCTTAATATGCCAGATGGTAGGGGTTTCCATTGTTTTCCCACTACGAATTTAGCCGTTGGATTGGGGATCCGCTATGTGTGTGGGGGGACTCCCCAACAACATCTCCAGGTCCGGTTGGCACCGGTATACCTGCGCCCTACTGTGGATAAACAAAGTCCACTTTGCACCAGTTGGTATAATATACCCATCCATCCTGGCAAGTTCATGTAAAACCAGAGGCGACGGAATCAACACTGGCAGGTGCAGCAAGCCCATGTAGGAAAACATGAGAGTCCGAATCTGGAGTTTTGAGTGAGTGAGTGAGTGAGTGAGTGAGTGAGTGAGTGAGTGAGTGAGTGAGTGAGTGAGTGAGTGAGTGAGTGAGTGAGTGAGTGAGTGAGTGAGTGAGTGAGTGAGTGAGTGAGTGAGTGAGTGAGTGAGTGAGTGAGTGAGTGAGTGAGTGAGTGAGTGAGTGAGTGAGTGAGTGAGTGAGTGAGTGAGTGAGTGAGTGAGTGAGTGAGTGAGTGAGTGAGTGAGTGAGTGAGTGAGTGAGTGAGTGAGTGAGTGAGTGAGTGAGTGAGTGAGTGAGTGAGTGAGTGAGTGAGTGAGTGAGTGAGTGAGTGAGTGAGTGAGTGAGTGAGTGAGTGAGTGAGTGAGTGAGTGAGTGAGTGAGTGAGTGAGTGAGTGAGTGAGTATAGTTTATTGATGTCAATTTGATGTGGTGTTCCCAATTAGGCACCTTGCAGCCTGAAGGATCGTTTGCTCAGGTCCTATCAGGTTGTCATGAACGGAGCAGCCACCAACGAGATGATCGCAAACCAGGAGGTTCGGACGGAGTGCGGTTAGGCGAGCGATTGCGGATGATTAGCTCCAACTTCACGAAAGCTATGTCTATATCTGTATACTCGTGAGATTACATATATCATATTGTGTCATACATCACTCATATTTATGTGATACACATACACACATGCTTGCACAATGTCTATCTTGGCACCATGTTTCAATCATCATTGCCACTATTAGCTAAACGTCACTGCATTAGCCCGGGGCAGATGTTGGTTCTCGCAGCTGGTTAGTAGAACCTGAACAGTTTCTTGGACTGGATTTTCAGCCATGTGGACCGAAAGCTTAGCCAGGTAGGGATCCAAGCGCTGGGTGCTTGGGTTCTCGGAACTATTCCAGGGACAAATTGGTCCAGCTGCTCCATGACACGGCATGGAATTGGGGCCGCATACACTCATGGGTTGTCAAAGAATGGCTATTTTGCAAACCACCCCAGTGCACCCAAGGATAATTACCCTTTTAAAGGGGTTTAAGATGGTTTGAGGTTTTGAAGGGTTCCCCTTCGTTCAGATCTATACGCCCGTGCACTCGCTCGATCTACTGTTCGCATCAGCTGCCACGGGCTTTCGGCTCAAGCTGGGCAGAGAGAATGCTCCAATGGGAGGTGAACAGCATGGCTCTTGGGGTGGACCAATTTGGGGTCGAGGGCTGAAGAGAGGTGCCTTCAAGAGGGCTGACCTCACTGAGATATTCTGGAGAGCGAACACAGCCAGGGCAAGGAAGCCAAAAGGTCAGTGTCAGCATTCACTGTTGGAGTGCAGCTCCTGATTCGCAGGGCTTATTGGCTGAAGGGCTTGGTTCTGCTTCATCTTCCCGCAGATCACTTGTGCCGTTGAAGCCTGCACTTGCTTGGGTCCCATTGAGGTTCATTCATGTGTTGGTTGCCCATGGGGATCATTCCAACAAGGCTGAACATCTGCGACTTATCCATGTTAATTGCTCGAGCGATCCGACTTTGCTTCCAGCTCAGAGTCCCCTCAGACACTTTTTCGGACACCCATTGCCCTCAAAGTCCGCGGATTTTGGTTTTCTTTGCCTTTCCGTGGCAATGGCTTCGGAGCAAGAGACCGAGTTTACCGAGCTTTGCGGCTTCCTGCAGGAGCGGTTTCCCTCGAGGGACCAAAAATGGGGCCTAAAAATGCGGTCCAAAGGCTTCCCTTTCCTCCAAGAGTGGCATGCGGGAAATCCAGTGGCCACTGTAAATGATTCCAGGGTGGCGTGCTATAAAACCAAATTGTCGCACGGTGGCAGAGTGTAATCGTTTAGCCGTTTAGCCCCTCACAGTACCCTCCCTACAAAGGAAACTGACGGGATGTGTTTGGAAGCCACTTGCCTTTTGAGGTTTGCTGGAGCCCACTTCCATTGTTGGACTTGTGTTGGATCCTCCGGAAAAGATTAGATGGATTGTCACTTTCCACGTTGTTTGTGGACGGCTTGCTCCAATATGGCTCCGTCTTTCTTTGAGGGTACCCTTTTCAAGGAAACCAACAGGAAAACCGTTGGGCCATTTTGGGAGTCCCCTAAAGGACGAGCCATAGATTCAGAGCCAATCCAGGGAGCCCACTAGCCACGAGAAACTTGTCATTGGGCAATCCTTTTCGCTGTGTATCAGACAAACTGACACACGCGGCAGTTTCTTGAGTGGATTGAACATTTGGGCGTGTCGTTCTTTTGAGCGAAATGTTCTCTTGGTTGGTGGGTTTTCAATGAAGGCTAAAAGAAAACCAGAAAGTTTTTGGGGGGTCCCCCAAAAGAAATACACCCTCATGGCTTCTCAGATTGTCCCGGATGCATCCGAAGCAACAGTGAGGCAGGCTCAGCTGCCTGCCTAATTCAATGAAGTGGGCGGCGATGCTTTTGTTTGCTGGTTGCTCTTGCGAATCAATCAGAACCTGTCAGGTAACTCTCAGTTGGATTACCAAACTGCCAAGAGGGAAGCTGGAAAAACCCAAAGCTAGACACTTGGTTTCGTTTTTCCCTGGTTTCCCTCTACCAGGCCCCAACTTTCTATATTTGTGCCAGGGTCTTTAAATCACTCCCCCCCAAAAAAATAATAAGCTCAGGTGATATCCCCAACAGCCTGTGGTGCTGCAAAACCCTCTCGTGGAACCTTGGTGGAACCCTGGTGGAACCCTGGTGGAACTCTGGTGGAACTCTGGTGGAACCCTGGTGGAACCCTGGTGGAACCCTCGTTGAACCCTTGTGGAACCTTACCTCAGGGCCGCCCCGGACCACCCCGGAGCCTATTTGGGCAGAGACCCCAAAGCTTTCAGCTGTTGGGGGGGAAAAAAAAACGCAAGGAGAAAACCCCCCTCCCCCCCAAACAAAAAACCACAACGACACAAGACACCAAAGAGAGAACAACAAGTGGAGCAGTTGAGTTGTAATGACCCAGGTGGATGCTTGTCCTTGCCTTGATGGCCAAGACGCCTCATCCGCCAAGACCTCCGAAACCAAAAGTGCCCAGAGGTTTGATGTCCTGAACCTAGGTGGAGCCAAGCAGAGCACCGACCTCAGAAAAAAGCGAAAAACGACACGCAATGAACAGGGAAACCAACATGAACCGCAAAGGACACCGACATGTACCCGACCTTTGTTAAAGAGACACCCAAAGGAAACCCACCCTCGTTTGGCAGTTCGGGAAGCGGCTTCCTCATGAACACCCCGGCCCTACTATGAGGGCTTAAAAGTTAGAATGGGGTAGTACGTCAAAAGCCAACTTCAGCCATGATTTTTCATACCTTAAACCAGAAGTAGTTGTATTTCGGAAACCTACTACAAACAGGAAGAAGCAGCCTCCTTGACTCCAAGCCCCCCCCAAACCTGCTATTGGGTGAGAACTTTAGACTTTACCTTTTTTGGAAATCAAGTTGGGTTTTCCACTAAACCCCCCCAAGAGTTGAACACTTTTTGCAGGGGGTCGCCCCCCCCTTATGAACCTTCCAATGAACAGCTACGAGGATCAGAAGCCGGAAGTGCGGCGCTTTGCGGCCGAGGGGGTGCTCAGTCAGACGGAGGACCCTTCGACTCCACCGGTCGTCTCTGCTCATGGAGGGGAATCCAAACAAACACCAGGACCGTTGAATGTGCCCACGTCCTTTTTTTGCCTGGTTGAAATGGAGCCATATAAATCTTTTGCTTCTGGATCCCGTATCCACTTGCCAAATGATTTTTGTTGTGCGCAATGAGATGGAACTGGAGTTGTTTTTTCTATTTTTTGTTCTCGGGGTTTAGCCCCGGCCAGGGGACTGGTTGGTTGGTTGCTTGACTGGTTGGCTGGCTGCTAGCTGGACGGCCGCATCCCCAGCATCCCCAGCATCACCGGCCTCGCTCGGGCTGGGTCCGGGCTGGTTTCGGGCGATTGTTGGGCTTGCTGAGGTCTTATATAATGAGGGCGGGTCTTGGGTTTGTTTGGGGTTCATTCAGGCATTGTAAAGGGCTGTGCTGTTGGGAGGGTTTAAGGTTGAAATTGAGCCGGTTTGGGTTGGCTTGGAGCATCCTAGATATCTACCCTGTACAACGCCTAAATGAACCAAACAAACCCATCCACCCTCATCCTATGAGACCTCAGCAAGCCCACCAATCGCCCGAAACCAGCCCGGAGAAACTCTGAAGTGCCACCAAATCAATAGGCAGCCCCGAGCGAGGCCGGTGATGCTGGGGATGCTGGGGATGCGGCTGTCCAGCTGAAGCCAGCCAGCCAACCAGTCAAGCAACCAACCAACCAGTCCCCTGGCCGGGGCTAAACCCCGAGAAAAAAAATAGGAAAACAACTCCAGTTCCAGCTCATTCCGCACAACAAAAATCATTTGGCAAGTGGATGCGGGATCCAGAAGCAACTGGGCCCCCAAAGAATACCGCCTGTTGCCCCCAACCTGAGAGCGAAGCAAGGGTTCCCAGCCAACCTCTTCAGAGCCACATGGGGAGGCCTTGTGCTGAGCCGGGGCTAGTAAAAAGCCGTGGCTAGCAGGCAACTCAGGGCTCATGCTGCCGCTGCCAGTCCTCTCCTTTTCTCCTTTGGTGGATCGCATTTGTGCCCTTCCACTGTCATGAAAGCCACCAGAAGGTCCCACAAAGAACATGGTCATTTGGTGGGAGACTGGCCTTTTTGCCTGTCACATCCTCACCCCCACGTCAAAGAGGGCACCTCCCGCACCTTCCTGCCAGCCCATGATTGCTTGCCATCAAAAGAGTTCTCAACAGCTGCCCTCTGTGCCTGCCACCCCTCACCCCTCACCCCTGACTCCCTGAGAAAATGAGCACAAGTGACATGACTGGTCAACAAGCTGTAAGTCCTTGACGTGGGGATCCAATTCTTATTCCAAGGTAGGAATGCAGGCTTTTCATGTATAGAGAGGCCATATGATGGACACGACCCGGGTCCATTTTGCCCTTTCGGGCTCACTTTGGTTGCCCTCCTGGACTCGAGTCACTTGGGAACATCCATGTTTGGTTGCCCATCAACACATTTGTTTGTTTCTGTTTTTTCTCACCAGGGATCGGACCATTCTGGTTTGGTTGCCCATCCACTGGGATTGGTATGTTTTTTTTTGGGGGGTGTTTTTTTTCTTTTGCAGGACACCTATAACTATCCCTTATCCACTTTTGTTTACTGAGAACCAGCAAGTGTTGGTGTTTTCTTCTTGTTTTCTCGTTTTTTGTTTCCTCTTTTTTGTTTTCTTCTTTTTGTTTTATCTTGTTGTTCAGGTTGCAACCATTTTTGGTTGCCCATCCACTTGCTTGTTTCTTGTGCTGGTTTCCTTTCAGGCAACCCTGGGTTCATTGCCAAAACCCCGAAGGTCATTCCTTGCTGAGAACCAGCACTTTTGGTTGCCCATGTTCCGCCCGGATTTTTTACTTGCTTCCTGGAGTCTCCATGTCCATGACCAACCACTATTTTGGGTAATGACCAACCATTTTGGAAAGGGTCAGAAGAAACTCCAGCTACTTGGTTGGCGAATTCCCTTTTATGGCATTGATTTTAGCCCCAAACCTATGGCAATAACAGGAAACAAACGACCCCGCACTTTGGTTTTAATAAATTGAAACCTTTAGGATTAACAAATACAAACTTTGGATCTTGAACTAAGCACGAAAAGCTAGAAAGACGATTAAGATCTTATTTCATCCTAGATTTAGGTTTTAATGAAAGTATTCACTCTATTTTAATAAAGAAGGATTCTACAACTCAAATAGTATTAACAATTCCACTATTTAATGATTCTTCTGTTCTTAGACTAAGTTGGTGAATTCCCTTTAATGGGTAGTTTCTTCCATTTGGTAAAGAAGACTTTAAAACAAATTCCCTGTTGGTTTTAAAGGGAATCTATGACTGCTGGATTTTTTTCACTTTTTCCAGGGGACGTATTCGCAAATGGAGGGTTTGAGTTTTCCCCATTTTTACAAATTGCCCATCCACTTGCTGGTTTCTTTTGTTTTTTGTCACCAGGACACCTATAAACCATCCCTTATGCCTTTTTTTTCTCTACTTGTTTCCCGTTTGTTTTGTTGTTGTTAGGACAGGACTTGGTCTTGGGTGTTGGCTTTTGTTTGGGGTCGTTTTTTTGAGAACCAGCGAGCGGTTTTTTCAGGACACGGACTTCCTGGACTTCTGCCGCCGCCAGCCGCGCACCTGCGCCCGGCCGCTGCTGCGCTTGGCCGAGAAGGCGGAGGCGGACCGCGCGGAGGCGCTGCGCCTGGGCGACGCGGCCGCTTCGGCCTCCGGGGCCTCCGGGTCGCGCCTCGGTCACCGCTTTGCTTTGGGTTCTTGGCTTGTTGGGTTTCATTTTGGTCATTTTCTATGGGTTTTGTGGTTTGTAGTTCTGCAGTTTGGCTCAGCTCTTGTTTTTTTTTGGTGCTGTTTTGTCTGGTTCTTTCCTGTTTTGTTTTAGGTCTTGGCTTTTTCGAACTAGGTGGGTCTTTCAGTTTTTGAGTTGTTGGTTCTGTGGTTTTTAGTTTGCAGATGTTTGTTTTAGGTCTTGGCTTTTTTGAGTTCAAACCACACGTTGCAGGTGTTTTCTCAGTTTTTGCTTTAGACAGACAAATGATTCGTAGTTCTGCAGGTTTGGTTTTAGTTATGTGGTTTGTAGTTCTGCAGTTGTTTTTCAGCTCTTGGCCTTTTTGGTGCTGTGGTTTTTAGTTCTTTGCAGCTGTTTGTTTTTTCAGGCCTGCCTGACTTTGTTGGTTCGAGCCACACATTGCAGGTGTTTTTCAGTTGTTAGTTTGTTGTTGGTGCTGTGGTTTTTGGTTCTGAAGGTTTGTTAGTTCTTTCTGTGGGCTTTTTCGTGGGCTGCCAAAAGCACACGTTGGCTTTTTTGGTTCTCTGCATGCTTAGTGGGCTGGGTTACTTCGCTGTTCTTTGCAGTGTATTGTTGGTGTTTTGGGTTCTCTTCAGTTTTACATGGCCTGCCAAAAGCACGTGTTGTTTTGCTCATGCCAAGGATTGGAAAGGCAAGTGCCAAACATGGCTCTGGATTTACATAGGCACACCCTGAAAATGGTGGACAATGTCCAATCAAGTTTCATTTCCTGGGAAAGGGTGGGGACGGCTGGGCTTTACGTTCTGTGACTGCCTGAGCTAGCTCCTTTGATTCTTGAGCTAGGATTGTTTGCTACGCTTGTCGCATCAGAGGGCGCGTGGGGTGGGGGCCTTTCGTGGGTTTTTGCATGACATTAAACGGCCAGCAAAGGCAAGACAGCCTGTTAGGGGTTCCCAAACACACACACACACACACACAGGGTGGTGGGTATCCAACCAGTTGGATCCGAAAGCTGGCTGGTTTCCGTTTCGTTTGCTCGTCAACTTCGCAGACGGGGGTTCCTAATGTTCAGGTTCCACTCATGTGGGTTGAAAGTTGAAGGTTGCTTCGCGATCGTATCCGTATGAAAGTGTGGTTCTTTGCCTGTGTACAGCTGAGGGCTGAACCTCAAAGGTGGGCTGCCACCAACGAAAACTTTGTGAATGCTGAGTGCCCCTAAGAACGGCCCAATCCTCCCAACAGAAATGAACAACACTTCCGTTTTAATGGCCCAATCCTCCCAAAAGAAATGAACAAAACACTTTTTACTGGCCCAATCCTCACAAACGAATTACTCAGACCCCCGCTTTAAGGGAACCACAGCCACGCCACGCGGGGCGTTTTGGGTCCAAGGAAGGGCGACCGGGCGGCCGCGCTGGCGGCGGCCAGCACACTGGCGGCGGGGGTCGCAGCCTTAAAGGCGGGGGAAGACGGAGCCTTTTCGCGCCCAAATGGCGCGGGACCCTTTCTGAAAGAAGATGGATCTGTTAAAAAATATGGCGGGCCTTCCTTCTTTTTTAAAAAGTTTAAATAAGTGCGTTTCTTGAACCAATGGATCAAACGTGGATATGGGTGCTTCTCCATATGGGAACCCATTCTGGGTAGTGGTTGGTTTCCTGGTTTACCCTTCCAAAAAACAATCCAAAAAGGGGGAACCCCATGTTGAGACAGACCCATCTGTTGACCCGTTTCTAAGACATGGTGGACTCCTTTCTAGCAGAAGCCGAGAGGGCACCCCGGCATTGGGGTGCTTGGCTCTCACGGTTGGCAACAAGAATCCTGTGGATGGACCAAATCCTGCACCACCTAGGAAACCCTCGAATGGTGTGAGTCCCCTGTAAAATGCCAACAAGCAATAGCTTCCCATGGTTTCTCAGCTGCAGGATTTTGTCCATCCACAGTATTAAAGGAAAGAACCCCTCCAAGGAGAAGCGCAATAACGAACACCTCTGCAGCTCCGGGTCAGGTGATACCCGCGGCCAAAAACCCACTTCGCAAGTTGATAGGTTGGTGGTGTTTTTGTCAATTAGTAGTTGTTCATAGGATTTCACCCATCCCAACTGGTGCAATATTTCGTCCCAGGGGTCCGGACATCTCCCTCGTCTGCCAGTTTACACATTGCCTTTTGGGTCACTTTTAGCTCATGTTGCCGGGGTTGTCATTTCAACCTTTTCTGGTTTCACTTTAACTTCCCACTTGAACGAGGACTCAGACAATCACAAGACAGCAGCGTCAACTTGGGATCAGTCAAGATGGGCATTAGTCAGGGGATGACCCTAAGGTGCGTAAACCCACGACTAGTGGGAGCCACGCCTGTTTCGCATCTTCCTTCAGATTTTAGATTGCAGATTGACTGGTTAAGCATCATTTCTTGAGCCAACTTTAGTTGAGCTTCCTTGGCGGCGAATTGTAGGGGCAGTATAGGCGCCCTGTGGGAAAGCAGCTTGGCTTTTTCCGGCTACTGGCTGCAACATCAGCAGCGCTTCATATTCACCTTTTTGACCAATCCATGTTGAGTATGCGCAAGAATACGGGAACCCCTAAAAAAAATGTTTTCCTGCTGATTTTCCTGTAAACCAAACAACGCAGGTACTATTTCGGGCCCCGGGTTTCCGGGCGGCAAAGCTTTCGGCGGAGATTTGCGGTCTCGCGCAGCGCCTTGGGAACCCCCTTTTACTTTGCAGAAAAGTGGGTGCCATCCCAGAAGAGAATGAAGCCTGTACTATTTGGGGGTGTCTTTCTTTAGGCCCCCCCAAAAAAATATTCCTGTGGGTGTCCCTTCCCCCCCCAAAAGAAAACAATAACAAAAACAATATCGCAAAATCCCTGTTGGCTTCCCTTTAAAACCCACCAAACGGGGAAGCCTCAAAAAGCGACAGACCCATTCAGCGAGTTGGAGGCCCTGGTGAACCTCAGCGCCGTGCCGGCTGTGGCTGAGGAGTCGAAGGGGCCGAAGGGGCCGAAGGGCTGAAGGGTCTTTCCGTGGCGGAAGTGGGGGAAGTGATCTTCGGGTTCAAGTTGGTGCAACCACGCCTTGCCCTGGCCTTGCCCAACTGACCTTCGTTTTTGAACGGGACCCTGTCAACAAATGGGCGTGTCATTTTGTAGGGGACCCCAAGAAAATTGTGTTTTTTCTTGCGGCTTTCCTGTAAAACCACCAAACAGGGGTACCCCCCCAGTAGTGCCCTTTCTCACCCTTTTTTGGTTGGCAGGGGTCCCCTACTAAAATAGACATCCTGCAAAAAGTTGGTACCAACATATTCTAACCTCTCTACTGGAGGACCTAGTCTTGTGGTTTCCAGTCGTAAGCTTAGGGTTTGGAGGTATCATTTCGGACCCCCAAACCACTAAGTTATGGATGGACGCGCAACCAAGAACTGTGCCTGAAATCGGCTACACCCTAAAAAAAAAACGACCCTAAACATACCCATTGAAAACAAATGATAAAATAATAAATAAAACGCAACACCCTCCAAAAACAAAAAGCCTAAAAACAAAAAACGCCACACACTTCGGCCTCTCACTCGGCCTCCCCAGTCGCCCGGTCGCCGCAGGAGCTGGTGGCCCTGAACGCGCCGAAGCGCGTGGTGGAGGCCCTGCGAGCCGGTTGGCTGGAGGGCCGGGCGGAGCCTCGGCGAAAAATTTGACCGGGGCGAGACCCAGAGCTGGGCTCTGGGGTGTTCAAGCATGTTGATCCGCGGTGTTTTTTGGTTTTCAACCATGTGGGTTGTCCCATTTTTGGTTGAACCATTGTTTGGTGGTGCCAGGTTGATCCCTTTTTTTTAGTTTTCAACCATGTTGGTTGTCCAGTTTCGGCAACCATTTTTAGTAGAGGTGCCAGATATCACCTTTTATTTCTGGGCCCCTGTTTGGTGTTCAACCATGTCGGCAACAGTTTTTACATAAGGCGAGTTCGATTGTGGTTTTCCACGTTGGTTTTCACATTTGGGCAACCACTTTTCGTAGAGGTGCCAGGGCAACGTTAACATTCATTTTACACCGAGGCATTTTTTTGGGTTTTCCTGGTTTCAACCCATTTTGGCAGAACACCAGGGCAATGTTTTTGGGTTTTCCTGGTCTCAACCCATTTTGGGCAGAGCTGCCAACAGGCGATCGCCTTTGATTTCTGGGCCCCGAAGTCTCATGGGCAGCTGAGGAGATGGCTCACTGGTTCGCCATGCTGCTGGCCAACGTCTCCACCTGCAAGAAGGGCCAGGCGTTTCTCGGTTTTCCGCTTGCCGGGAGGGGCGAAGGGACCAGGTGTGTGTAGAGGGTCGAACTCAAATTGGGGGGGGGTCTTGGAATCGGGTGTGCGTGTGTGTGTGTGTGTGTTTTTCCAGCGATATCAAGGGAAGCCCCCTTTGAAGTGACAAAGTAGTCGTGGGGATGGCCTTCTTTAGTATCAGAGGGGTGAGTCTCCACCAGCACGGCCAGGAGCGGAATGACGTGAAAGGAAAGCCAATTTGGAGGTTGCTCGTGTTTTTTTTGGTTCATCCCCGTTGATGCTGAAGGTGCCTCTTGCTTATGTATGCGATTGTTGCAATGGTCCCATTTGGGGTTGTCCCTTGACGAAGGCGGTCTTCCAGGGTTGTCCTTTTCGGTTGAAGGGGTATGTAATTTGGTTTTGAAAGGCACCGGCAAGAAGGGTCAGGAGCGGATTCAATCGATCCAAAAGAGATGGAGAGTCAATTGTTGTTGTGATTTTCCTCTGGGTGGGGTGATGATGGCTGTTTTGGGCCCCTTTCGCAGGGTGCTTATTGAGGAACACTGAAAGCAAACCAGCCAGTGTCGGATCGCCATTTGGCTTCAGACCGTTTCAACCGCTTCGGATTGATGCTGAGTAGCTTGAAGAAGAGTTCCCCATGCTCAATGCCCACTCTTTGCCAGCCCCTGACCAGAAAAGCCGTCATTTACAATGTTTTACCATGGATCAACCCGTTTTTTTGCAAGGCATCCCAACAAAAACCGGTATATATTTAGAGGACAGGGTTGATCAGTTGGGGTCCCGGGTCCGGCAGCCGGGTTTTGGGGCAGGTCGAATCGCAGGTGGGCAAGCGGTGGCAAAGAAGGTGGATCTCGGGTAACCGGACTTCGGATAGGTGTCCTGAAACAGAGTTCCTTTTGTGGGCGTATTTGCTTACGTGTTCATTGCCATACATGTTTCAGGTGTTTCGCAAGTTTCGTAATCTCTTTTCAGGTTGCCGTTGTGTAAAAGAAAATCAATCAAGCACCCCCAGCACAGAAATGCCAAAGGCTTATCCAAACCACAAAGCTCCCCGTCATTTTGGGTAGCGCAAGCTATCCCCGGTCAGATGTTGTCAGGGCCCTCTGCTTCAAACCATGTACGGGCTTTTCCCCAAATGCACTGGGCGTCTCTTTGAGACGGATGGGTGTTTTGCCACTGAGACGTCCTACTTGCGCGGACATCTGTTGCTGCCAAGTGCTTGAATTCCCACCGTCAGGTTGGCACTGGCAGTTCGCAGTTCGCCAATTTTGCGAACAACCTCGTTTTGGGAAGCCTTGATTAGTAAGCCTAGGTGGATTAAGAGGGGGGTGCCCCCTTTTAGTGGAGCTTTATCTCATTCTTGGAGGGACCCCCCTTTGAATGGGACGGGTTGATTACTCCAGGGCCGACAGTTGCTCATTCGCGCTAGGAGGCCCTGGTGGCTGACGAGAGCATGCTGAAATTCCTGGTGGCCGCCTATGTCACCAAGCCCCGCCTGCCCCCGCGCGATGGATACGAGGCGCTTCGCTTTACGCGGAAGGCATGTTTGGAGTTTCGGCATTGGTCTACGACACAACAGGTGATGACTGGGTAGTTGAGAAAGCGAGAGAGGAAGTGCGTTCTTGCATCTAAGTTGGACCCATAATCATGATAAGGCGCTTTGTCGAAAGCTGATGTGTTGCTTCACGCACCCGGCAAATGACCAAAACGGTTTTCGTCACGCTGTAGTTCGCCCACATCTATATGACTTGAGGGCCCCACTCCCAACCACCCAAGCAACATAGAACCTCACCATAGGTGTCAGCCGCTGTTCCCCGGCTTCTGCGGGACTCGTCCAAACCCAATCCGCGAGATCGGACGCGAAATCGTGAGGACCCCCTGCAATGGCTGGGGAAGACGTTGGTCAATCTCCTGGTGCTGGCGGAAGGTCGGCGGTTGCTGGGCAAAGCCCAGGAGCGATGGAGTGCGGACTGCAGAAGTCATAGAGGGCCTGTGCGTTGATGCGTTGATCAAGCGGACAGCCATTGAAGTCGCCCGTTGGAATGGCTAGAGTACAAGGGCCGGACATTTTAGATTGGGGTTGTGGAGTAGTTTGAAGCCAAATTATGTCATGATCATGGGAGAATCAAATATGTGTAACTATGTCGCACGTTGTACTAGGTGTCTTTTCTTGCTTCAGTTAGGTTGAACACAAGCTGTCAATTAATTTGAACAAACATGTTCCTTACTTTTATTTTTTGTGATTTGCCCGGATAGGTTTTAATTTGGTTGACAACACATTGACCCAACCTGGTTTCCGTCCGATAAGGATTCACCCTTGCTGTTGTTCTTCCAAAAGGACACGTAGGTTTTAGGGGTGGTGACGAACCAAATTGAATTCGTTTTACTTCTCAGCGACAAACATTAGGTGTTCAATCTCTTGTGGTTTCCCAATCCGTCCATGGTTGGTCCACGGCTTCAATCCACATCCATGTCAATGTGATTTTGCGTTTCCGACCTGCAGGCATTGTTGGTGGTCCTGCCCTTGTTCCCGTGTCAACTCATGGGTGCGTCTTTTTTTGAGGGTACCATTTTCAGGTTGGATCAAAGGGAAACCACCAGGAACGCAGACGCCAAGTCTTGCTGGTGCTCAGCAGGGAATGAGGGAAACCCCTTTTCACCATCCCTTCTGTTTTCCTTTAATGGGACCCCCAGGTTCATTCCCTCATTCCCTACTTGTCGCACCAGCAAGAAAATGCCCTCATTCCCTCTTCCCTTAACCCTCAAGCCACCAATTGGCTGTGGGTCAAAGATATGTACCCAAAATGGAATCCTGGTAAATGGACACATGGACCAAGATTCCTGCGGTCCAATTCCCGGTGGTAAAAAATTGACCCATAGCCCATCGAGGAGCTGCAGATCCTCTTCAGCGAGCTGTCGGAGCGCCTGCGGCGGGTTGACATGTCCCAGGCGGTGAAGAACGTGTGTCTCGACATGGAGACTTGGAGTCAAGCCGGGGCGGGTGAGCAAATGGTTCGAGAACGCGGGAATGATGAACCAATGGCTGCGATGCGTACTGCTTTTTTGTTTCCTTTTCTTGCGGGTGGGGGGGGGGGGAAGGGCAAACCCAGAGTAATTGTTGTTCGGGTTTGTTTCCTTGTTTTTTTATTGGGGGGGGGTCACCAAGAAATACAACAGGTAATTGACTGTCTACTGAAAAGCGTGTCTTCTTTTTAAGGGACTCGTTTTGGGTTTTTGGGGTGAATTTAAAGGAAACCCAAAGGGGTCCCTCATTTGTCATTTTGGGGACCCCCAAAAGGTTTGAGACCCAAAACGTACGGGGCAATGGATGGAACCTTTTGGGGGATGGTTCAGAAGGTGATTCCCATATTCCCTGAGAACAAGAGCAAGTCACCGCCTTACCTCCGGCCTTTTTGCGGGTCAAGGGTGTGATGAGCCCCTAAGGCGGTTTTGAGTGGTTTGGAGGTTAGCACCTTCTTATTCAGACTCACAGTCCAAAGCTCCCTCAATCCGAGCCACAAAAAAGAAACCGGGGAAACACCAGGTTTTCGACAAGAGCAGCTGAGTTGTGTGATCACTTGGGGTCTATCCCCACTTCTGTGATTCGGCCCTTTTGGTTGTATGACCATGGGTCAAAATCCCGTACCCCCAGTGAACATCCCAATCCCCAGACTAACATGGGTGGTGCACCTGCCCCAAAATGGTACCATTGGTTTTGACCCACAGCCGTATCACAGATTCGTGGATTCCATTTCCCGCTGCGTGGAGTCCACCGGATTGCTCGAATCGCAGGAGTGCCACGAGGCGATCGTGGCCACCGATCTGCTCTCGCAGCTGGTGAGGCCGGAGCTCAGTCTAAAGGCTTAGTCTGCTTAGTCGCTTGGTGCTGGCAAGCATCACAAAATCTCACGACAAAAAAAACGTGTTTTCTCGCAAATGTGAATAAATTTGCGAATGGCCCAGTATAATTTCACAAACCACGACAGATCTCTTGTTTTTGTCGCCAACTTCCGAAAAGAACGCCCCCCGAGGAAGAATGAGGAAGTACAGCCAGCATTTGATTCAATAACGATATTCCTTCGAAAGATCAATCTGACATGTTTAAACAGGTTGTCGGCCCAATCACCCCATGTCTACTCCAGCAGCCACTTCGAAGACCAACCTGCTTGTTTTGCATATATGTTTTAGCTAAAGACATCCTAAACCCTCAGAATTCCAACTTAAAAATAGGTGTTGAGGCTAGTTTGAGGGTCCAGGATGGCCGGAGGTTCCTCTGCCCCTGGGAGAAGATGAGCGCGGAGTCCAGGGCGGTGCTGCCGGACAGCCTCAAGGAGTTGACCAAAGACGCCAGCCTCACCAGCGCAGACCTCAGCGGAACCCGGAGAAACCGCTTAGCCCGGTACCCGGTACCCGCCCTCAGGTCCGGCTTTTCGGTTTTTGGCTCCATGCGGCTCCAGGGTGTTTGATTGAAGTCAACTTGCCCGTCGCTGTTTTGCAGAATGGCCACGGAAGATGTAAGAGTCTTACAGCCAGTGCTCCCAGAACTGGGCTTGGCTTAAAAAGGCGGGCCTGGTGTGCGGGTGTGCCTCCATTTCCATCATGGATCTTGACCTTGCCAGCATTTGTCGTGGACCCCTTTTTGGTTGGCAACTCAAGGAAACCAAGAGGAAACCCTTGCCATTTTGGAAAATGGGCCGCTTGATATTTTCAGAAACACCCTACATAGGTTCCCTTCTGGTTTTAAACATCACCCTAAGTTTACACGTTCAGCCAGTTTTAGTCATGATGCCCAACAGAGGGTCCAGGACCCATTCAAACTCGCACCCATATGTGGGCATGCCCCTTTTTAGGGGGATCCCCCAACAAGAATTGTGGTTTCCTGTTGATTTCCTGTAAAACCACCTCAACAAAAAGTGGTTTCCTGTAAGACCACCAACGAAATAAGGTTTCCTGTAAAACCACCCAAAACAAGGGTTTCCAGTAAAACCACCCCCCCAAAAATGTGTATTTTTGTAAAACCACACCAAAAGAAGTGGTTTCCTGTAAGACCACCAAAAAACGTGGTTTCCTGTCAAACCACCCAAAACAAGGGTGTTTCCTGTAAAACCACCACAAAAAATGGGTTCCTGTAAAACCACATCAAAAAAGTGGTTTCCTGTACAACCACACCAAAAAAGAGGCTTCCTGTAAGACCATCAACAAATGTGTTTTCCTGTAAAACCACCCCCCAAAAATGGGTTTCCTGTAAAACCACCTACAACAAGGTGGTTTCCTGTAAAACCACCCCCAAAAAGGGGGTTTCCAAAACCACAACAAAAAAAGTGTTCCTGTACCACAAAGAAATTGGGTTTCCTGTAAAACCACCTAAAACCACAAAGGGTGGTTTCCTGAAAAACCACCACAAAAACAAGGTTTCTTGTAAAACTAGTAAACCACCCAAAACAAGGGTGTTTCCTGTAAAACTACCCCAAGGGCGGCTCCACCCCCAAAAAAGCTGGTTTCCTGTAAAACAAGACTAACAACAGGGTTTCCTAAAACCACCACATAAAAGGTGGTTCCCTGTAAGACCACCAAAAAATGTGGTTCCCCAAAACAGGTGGTTTGCTGTAAGATCACCACAAAAAAGTGGTTTCCTGTAAGACAACCAAAAAAGTGGTTTCCTGTAAAACCACAGCCAAAAATGGGCTCGGTAAAACCACAACAAAAAAGTGGTTTCCTGTAACAATACACAAAACAAGTGGTTTCCTGTAAGACCACCAAAAAAAGTGGTTTCCTGTAAAACTACCCCAAAAAATGGGCTCCTGTAAAACCACCGAAAACAAGAGGGGTTCCTGAAAACCCACACCACCAAAAACAGGTTTCCTGCAAGACCACCACAAAAAAGTGGGTTCCGGTAAAACCACCGAAAACAAGGGGATTTCCTGTAAAACCACCCGAACAAAAAGAAAGGGTTTCCTGAAATAAAGCCACCCCAAAAAAGGGGGGTCCCTTTAAAAAAGGGACAGAGCCACGTCTCACTGCCTGAGTTCAGGCGACCTGGGCATCCGTTCCGCCTGCGCGGTGGCCTTGATGGGCCTGTGCCGCTCGGAGCTCGGGAGGAGCTACCTGCGGCCCGGCACGGAGGCGCCGCCTCGGGGGCCTTCGGCGCCGCGGGCGTTGGGCGTCGCCTTCGGCGCGCCCAGCTAGGTGGCCCCATTGGTTTGGATTGGTCTGGGGATTTGAAGCCCTGGTCCAGGCTTGTTTGGTGGTTTGAAGGGGCACCCAAAGAAAAATCCACCATTTTGGGGGGTCCAACCTTCAACTAGGCCCTCCAGTAGTGCCCTTGGACCGTTCCTTTTTTGGTTGGGAGGGTTCGGGACAAAAGAGAAAAAAGTTGGTACCCTTATTCTAGTCTCTCCTAGCCTTTGTTGATTGCTAGTGGGTTGGATCCTTTGTGCAGGAGGCGACGCGCACCGCTGAACGCCAGAGAGAGAGAGAGAGAGAGAGAGAGAGAGAGAGAGAGAGAGAGACAGAGACAGGGTTGGATCTTTGAACTTTAACGTTTTGGGAACATCAAGTTGTTTTTGTCCATTAAAAGCCACAACAAAGTTAAAACCTGTAGCGACCAAGCTTTGAGACACTTCTTGTTTTTGTTTTGTATGGATTTGGTCTCTGCCAGATAGGCTCCGGGCATCTTTCAGGCTCTCGAAAATTCCAGAGGGTTTCGGGTTTCGGGGCTGTTGGGGATATCTGGGCTTACCCTTTTGGGTGTCCTTCAATGTCCCTTTAAGCCACCTGTCTAAGTGAGGGTTTGAGACATACAACCAGCGGAAAATGGAGCGCATGTTTGTCTGCCCCAAGCGCTCGAATCTGAGCCAGCCTGGCAGGTCTTCCGCTGCTGGCAAGAGCAGGAGCCAGATGCCGCTGTCCAGGACGTGTGTTACAGCTCCGGGAGGAATGGTCAACTAACGGACCGGCATTTGGCTTAAGCTGACTGCCCCCAATAACAGTTTACTGTCTGGATGGGCTAACTTGGCACCTTTTCAGACTTTTTCTGACATCTCCTGACAGTACCCCTGGAGTATGCTTGGAACATTTGTCATGTTGCCGATTCCTCCTTGGACCCTGGTGCCGCCCAAGGTGCCGCTTGTTAAAGGGGGTGCTGAAAAGGGCCCTGCAATTCAGACCACGCCCGCGGGGACAAGAATTTACCAAAGAGGTTGTGGACAGGGAGTTGTTTTGTGTGGCCGACTCTTTTTCCAGCTGTAGACCCTGCCACTCCACAGCTTGGTCCTTTCCCATGTCATGTAGACATGGCTACAAGACGCTATTGGGGACCACACAATCAGATGAAAAGGGAGGTTGACGCAGCGGTGCCCCAAAATGCTTCCCGCCATGCGACAAATTGACAAAACATGTGTCAAAACACGTCAAAACTTGGTTTCCAGTGAAATTCACTTGGTGGCTCCCAGACATCCCCATAGCCTTTTAGCTTTTTAGTGTTCAGTGGTAGATTCCATTTAATCCACTAAAACATATTCACTTTTAGCGGAGCGTCTGAGGGCAGCCCACTTCAGAAAAAAAATCCGCTGGACCGATTTAGCGCCAGGATCACTTGGCGGTGGTCATGCCGGGCCTACTGCTCACGGAGGAGGAGCTCAAGGAGGAGGAGAAGAAGTTGCAGGAGGATCCCTGAGCGCAACTCAGCGAGTCGCAAAGCTGTCCAGGCAGACCCATGCTAGCGAAGCTCGGTAAGGGTCTAAATAGTTACCATGAAGTGGTGGGTGACCATGCGCTCTGATTAATAACCCCACCCCCCCACCCCCCTAATTATGGCAAGCCAAACTACAAAAATATCGAGGCATGGTGTTTGCAATTATTTAGCCCCTTATAGTAGTGGCGACCAGAGCAAAAGCGAGAGCTGACCAGCTGAGCAGCCAATCAGCCTCAGCGGTCAGAGTCTTCACGCTGAGACCTGTCTCACATTGGTAGTTTTCTCACATGAGACCATGATGACCTTTGATTCCGAGCCTTTTTGGAGTATGTACTGCTTCTTTGCATTGTCCACGCGTGAGCGGGCCTTTCAGATTGGTCTCTGCTCCTGCCACATCTCTTTGCGGAGTTTCGGGCGAGGAAAGAGCTCCATCGAAGCGACTGGGCGAGGGATGTGGCCTCTTTTTGATTCATCAAATTGCGGGCTCACCCATGGATCGATTTGGTTTGTGATGATGATGATGATGATGATGATGATGATGATGATGATGATGATGATGATGATGACGATGATGCTGGTGGTGGTGGTGATGATGATGATGATGATGATGATGGCTTACTTGCACAAGGATGCTTTGTTTCAAGGTGAAACGTACTAAATTATATAGATGTTCCTCCAGATTTGAAACCACTACCCTTTATGGGGAACGTGGGACATATGGCCAGTTGGAGTCATGTTGTCAGACTACTGTTGACACATTTGTTGCCAAGCCACAGCTTACGCTTGTACCATACGATTGAGTCCATTTCACGGGAACAAGGGCAGGTTAAGACATGCGATCAACATGATGTTTGGTTCAAGCCAGCGTTTTGACACATGTGACAGAACACAACACGTGACTGGGTGCATCAGCAATCTGTTGCCAAGACACAGCTGCGTGCGCTTGCACCATGCAATTGATTCCCATGAAAAAACTTGCGGCATTAGCCTAGTTTGGTTGAGACTGAGGTCCACAGGACGTTTGGTTCAATTCATTTACCCATGCCGTCTATTTGTGTGCGACACGAAGGTCATGATTTGTGGTACTCTGTGGATTGTTCTTAAGTCGGTTCCTGAATGAAAGAGCTGCCTTTTGGGGAATCCACAGTCCGGTAGCCCCAAGAGAGCTGCTCAATTCCCCGTAGGTTCTGAAGGTGTTTTTGTGGTGGTTTCCTTCTGCGTGTTATGGATTGGGATCAGGGTTCAAAATTTTTGACTACCCCAAAGTCGACTTAAACCCAGGGGTGGTTGATTTCCCCAAAAGGGAAAGCCCTGGGTTTAAGTCGACCTTGTGAACACAGTCTCTTGCGGTTGCCTACTTGTGGCTAGAATCCATGTGCTTTGAGGGCCAGTTTTTCAATGGTAGCACAGATCTCGGGTTCTTTGCCTCGTGCTCTCGTGATGCATACAGCTGGAAGATGGAGAGATGGTCCCGAAGAAAAGAGGCAAGTCCTGAGCCGTGGATCGTTGGAAATTTTCGAGTGCTGTGAAGAACTTACCTCTTAAAAACACAACTTTTCAACTTTTTGGGTAACATGGGCTATATGTGAGTTTTAAGGGGTAAGAGAACTCCACGCCAGTTGTTCTTCATCAGCTCCAACGACGACTACGAGGGCTACAGATATGCCGGCCTCGAGGCGCGCGGTCACGTCAGTTGCGCTTGACATTTTTGAGACACTTGGATATGAACTTTGACAGGGAACCGCCTCAAAAAGTAATTACTTGGTGGACATCAACATGAAACCCCGCCTGAATGATGTCCAAGGAGCCCCTAAGCAAAACTTCTGCCTGCCTGTTCTCAGCCAAAGCCGAAAATGGCAAGACTGCCTTGTGTTCCCTAATTTTCTGTGTGGATCAACTCCAAACACGTCCGAATTAGCATGGCGTCTACGAAAATGAGCCGCTAGCATGCCCGAACGACTGCTACAGCTCTTGGGGTGTTGGGCATGGGAAGAGGGCTCGTTGCAGTGCGGCCTGATTCTTTGCGGGCATGCACCTTTTGCACTGGGTGCCTTGAAGAGAATAATGTTGATACAACCAGGCCAGGTGAGCCGCAATCAACGGGTAGATGAAGGTTAGTAAGGGACAATCCCAACCATAAATAGCTGCGGCCGCCTTCTTAATTCTTTACATGGTTCTGGGTAGACCATTTTGATACCGGGTTTTGCTTATGACTCAGGTTTTCTAGAAACTGGACTTTGCTAGACATTCCTTAGGCACTACACAAGCGCCGGAGAAATACAGAGTTTCATGGCTTTGTGGCCTGCGAAGACTAGACATGTTTGTTGGGATGCTGTTCGGATTCCATGTGGATTGGCCCAATGGGCTAAGTGGAAGACTTGCAACCCACTTCTGTCGCCAGGGGATCTTTTGCTTCCCATGCAACATGCTTCTTACTGAAATCAGCGTCAGCTTCTCTTCTCTTTCAGAGCTCGTAGTTCCGGGGCGCCAAACGCTTTGAGCCAGGCGTGGGGCAAACATAATGGAAGTGACGCGTTCTTGTCAATGGCAAATGAATCTGACCTCACCTGGGCAGTTGGTGGCCACCGATACTTAAAGGTCTCAGCATGGTGTGATGGAGTTGTTGCTTTGATTCCGCATCAGATTTGATGAATACTCACTTGGGCAGATCCACAGTAACTGCCAGGTACGCTGCAGATTCACATACCTCGACAACCATCATTTTGGCAGGAATCTCCTATTGGGGAACCCCCCCTGTGTTATTTCCACGTTATTTCCCCTGTGTTATTTGCACGTTTGGCAGTGAGCTTCAATCCAGGATGGTTGGTGGGCATGAACCTAACTGATGTTTTTACCAAAGGCGATGGAGATCTCGGCCAGGTGGGACACGTCTTCTCCACCGAGGAAACGCTCTATCAACTTGGCCGGAAGCCTCAGGTCGTGACACAGGGCCAGTTGTGTGTGTTCATATACCTCTGGGTCCCCCAGCTAGGTATCCTTTTACCCTTTTTTGGGGAGGGTTCAGAGAAAAGGGTACCCTTATTCTATCCACTCTACCGCAGGACCTAGGACCTAAACCCTCAAACTTCCTTTAAAGAAAAGCTTAGTGCCCCAAAATTATGGGGTGACTTCCTTGGTAGTTGGAGGGTCCAGGTATGTATGTGGGGTTGATCGATATTCCGTTCGGCCCCAAAATGACCATGGGGAACTTTTCCCATCTGGTCGGACATATCAGCTTTTTGGTGGGTTTCCCCAATGGTCATCCCATGTAAAGGTTTTGATCAACTCCCCTCCCCCTGTTTCGTTTCAAAACTAACAGGGCGCCCGCTGGTGGCACACAGCCTTCTCTTATGATGACTTGCCTTGGCTTTAAAGCACTCCGCTACCGCATTCTGTTCCGTTCCTTGAAGTAATAGTAGTCTGGGTGTTCGAAGGCAATCCTTATCCTTCCCTTTGGCTGCGAAAGATAGCTGTCCAGTTTTGCAGTATCCTTTGTTGCTGTTCCTTTGGGGGCTTCGCTGAAATCAACCACCCCACCAACATTGCCTTGGTTTTTCCCCTGGAAAGGATCCGAGTTCCCATTCGGCGATCAGAGTTCCATTGGTCCGGTCCTGCTTCGCAAGCGATGCAGGGGTTGGAGGATGAAATGATGCCCCCCTTGTTTTGGGCAGCCAGCGGAAAAGGTAATTCGGCGGCCATCAGACGAGTGTACCCAAAGAGCAAGTTGTTTGTTTCACAACTCCAAAAATGATTTCTCTCATAAAGTTCAAGGCATTTGACATACATATGTTCCAGGCTTCCATTGATCTTTTATGGCCCACCAGCAGGAGAAAGTGTGGCTTCCGTTCAAGGCTCACGTTTGCATTGAGCTGTTAAGCTTGGCTAGCTGAGAGTAGGCCTCCTCAGATTTCCCTTTTGCAAGGATCAAATGGCTGTGGGTCAAAAAAAGGTACCCAAAATGGAACTCTGGTAAATGGAACCAAAAACTAAAACCAGCGGTCGCCTGGTGGCTTAATCTTGACCCACACCCAAATGAGCCAAGATTCGCATTTTTCCAGTGATCCTTTAGAGATCGGCTTCGTGGCTGAGAACTCTAGGGGTTGATTCCCCATTCTGTTCAACCATCGCTCGATTCAAGACCAGCTTTTTGGTTTTTGTTTTGGATGGTTTCCTGAAAGAAGGGCTATCTCGAAAGAAGGGCTGGAAGCTTCCCCCACCAAGAGCACTTGGTCCAGTTTCGCCAGGTCAAGCGGTGTCCCTTCCGGCCCCATGTTTCTCAGCTCGCCGCAGCCCAGGTGCGGGGAACAACGACCCCCAGTTCGCGCCGCAGATTGGCCTCGACGCTCCGCCGAAAAGGAATTACCCTTCCTCCCATTGACATGGCACCTGTGGGAGGGACCTGGAAGATCAGTTTCCTTTTGGAGGGACCCCCTGTCACATGCCATGTTACTGGGAGAGAGGGTAGACCCCTTTTTTCCCCGCAGGCCCCAGGTGGGTGTTTGTGTCTTTTTAAACGGTGCCCCTGTTTCAGGGTGAGTGAAAAGGGAAACTAAAAGGACCCCCCACGATTGTGGGGGATATATTTTGACACATCCGATGTTGAAATGGTTGGCAGGTGGACAAATGCTGAATAGCCCTGGGAAGAACGCCTTGCAGAAAAAAGTTTACCTTCTTCACGGCTTGTTTCAGCTTGTTCCATCATGCTCTTGATGGGATACAGGGCAATTTGGACCCTCAAACTACGGATCGTGCCAACATTTGCTGTTCCCCACGTTTAAGATTTGTTTGAGGATGGCAAAACGCTTCTCCCCGAGGCATGAACTGAACCAACTTGGGGATTCTGAAGCTCTCCGGAATGGGTAGTGCTGACGCTGGCTTAAGAAAAACCTAGAATCGCAGCATGCTGTTGTTCCCCAAGCTATTTGCTGGGAGATGGTTGTGGATGTGCAAGCACGTGCGTCCGATCGACGACTTCAAGAGGGCAAACCTTAATCTTAGCCAGTTCATGCACGATTCTGGTCGGTGATATAGTTGCAGCACAAATCTCTCGTCGCCCTGCTTATGATGACTATACGGCCGCAGAAAACACTGTCCCCAAACTGAGGTTTGAGCC